CGAACCTGAATAATTTGCAAATCATAGTACATGTAATAAGAACTACAACAGAATCATTTACTTACAAAGGACACCTAACTTTCTGATCAAACTTTGTAACTATTTAAAAAGTACAGATGCAATAAATAGGTTATCGATTCGTGAAAAATTGAAACATCCAAACTCCGTCCATACGTAAACGTAGCCATGACACATTATCATTATCATGTTTAGCTCATCACTTGGCGTCATCGTCATTCGTCCTACGCTTGTTCTTCGATCCCTTCTTGTAAACTCTTTTTAAATATTCACCTCCGAAACAACTTGGCTAAATGTTACCAAACTTGACCTTAATTTTCCTTACGCAATCTTGTTTAAAGCTGACTCCGGTTACTTGATCTATTAGCAAACAATGTCACTGTTTCTAAAAGAACACGGGGGTTATATGTAGTGTTTGGCATATATCTGCAGTAAGAGAAAAATTGACTGGGTTAAACATGATCATTGCCCCTGAAATGTTTATTGTTAGCACAACTGACATGAAGAAAATGATCAGCAGGTCAAGGTCTATATCCAGGAGAATTCAGAATAGTTTGAATACCCATTTTGAAGCAACTACAACAGAAAGATCTACAAATACGTGAACATTGCCGAAATTGTCAATTTAACACTTATAGGAGTTATTGCCATTGAATGATGATTTTTACTTTTTTGTGATTTTTTTGCGGAAGCTATGGTAGAAAGAGAGAATACTTAATAAAAATAAGATCAAATTACGTCTGCATGACCAAAATTATCAGTTGACTCTTTAGTAGGAGTTATTGCCCTTTAAAGGAAATTTTTACCCCTTTTTTCAATTTTGAAGAAACTAACAGATAGAGCGACAGTGTTAACGGGTAAATATTTAGCAGAGAATCTACAAATAAGTCAACAATCACTGAAATTATCAATTGACTCCTTATGGGAGTTACTGCCCTTATAAATCAATTTTTACCAGTTTTTGTTTTTGCAGAAACTATAAATATAGATAGACAGAGCTAGTGTAACTGTTCAACAAAATAAGATCCACAATAAGTCAATATTGCCGAAGTTATGCCTTTTGTTTGTTATCTCGAAAACCTTAACACATATATCAAAACTGTGAACAGCAAAACTGATCAACAATACCATGATCTACAAAAATGCAAAAATTGCGTTGGTACATTGTAACTCCTTATAGACGTTTTGGCCTTAACTGAAGATTTTTTTTCTTATTTCTAGTTTTTATCTTTTACCTCGAATACTATTAAAGATAAGATGAAACTAGAAACAGTCAAACTTTGCAGATGAGCGAATCAGGCTCTTAGAAGTTTCTCGTTATTATTACATAAATTGTTTTTTTTTATTTCTTTTCTGGTATCAGATGTAATAAAAAGGAAATAGAAAATAAAATAATAGAAATAAATCAACGAATGTCACAGGTAATGTTTTAAATGGAAAGCTTAAATCATTAACGAAAAGGAGAATACTGAATATAGTCAGCAAGGCAGGAAAAATTCATGATGATCTAAATATACAATGTATAAAGATTTAATAAAATTGTGTCAGCTTAACTCGTACCTGCGACAATAAAAATAAGTTTAGTTCAATGATATTATTAAATTTCATGTTTTTGAAGAGTTTTCAAGGAAATATTAAGTAGAGGTATGATTTCTTGTTAGATTTGGTCATTAACGCAAAAAGGATTTCATTCAAGTGCAAACTTAAAATCACTACCATTTTTAGCTCACTTGGCCCAAGAGGGCAAAGTGAGCTTTTCTCATCATTTGGCGTCCGTCGTCCGTCGTCGTCCGTTAACTTTTACAAAAATCTTCTCCTCTGAAACTACTGGGCCAAATAAAACCAAACTCTGCCCTGAAATTTTCAGACGCACAAGACAACTCGTTTTTGGGTTGCTGCCCCTGAATCGGTAATTTTAAGGAAATTTTGCAGTATTTGGTTATTATCTTGAATATTATAATAGATAGAGATAAACTGCAAAATTGTTCAATAAAATAAGATCTACTGTGACAAGTAAGTCACATGACCAAAATTGTCGATTGACCCAAGAATGACTTATTGCACTTAAAAGTCAATTTTTCACAATTTTTCGTAAATTTTTGTAATCTTTTACAAAAATCTTCTTCTCTGAAACTACTGGGCCAAATAAAACCAAACTTAGCTTAAATCATCCTTAGGATATCTTGTTTAAAAAATATATCCGATGACCTCGCCCGTCAACCAAGATGGTCGCCATGGCTAAAAATAGAACTTGGGGGTAAAATGCAGTTTTTGGCTTATATCTCTGAAACTAAAGCATTTAGAGCAAATCTGACATGGGGTTAAATGTCAATCAGGTCAAGATCTATCAACCCTGAAATTTTCAGCCCATCAGACAACCCGTTGTTGGGTTACTGCCCCTGAATCGGTAATTTAAAGGAAATTTTGCAGTTTTTGGTTATTATCTTGAATATTGTTATAGATAGAGATAAACTGTAAACAGCAATAATGATCAGCAAAGTAAGATCTACAAAGAAGTCAACATGACCAAAATGGTCTATTGACCCATTAAGTTATTGCCCATAAATGACAAATTTTACCATTTTTTTTCATTTTTGCCTACTATCATAAAATCTATTTTATCTAGAAAGAAACATTTTTTTCGGTTATTAGTATGCCATATATGATTTAAATTATAAAAGATAATAGACACTTTAAATCACAAAAATGATCAGCAAGGCAAGATCTATTAAAAAGTCAAATTTTGACGATATAGTTAGTAGACTGTCACTCTTCATAGGAGTGATTGCAGACGATGAATGCACATCATCATAATGATGTTTCGACATCATCATAATGATGTTCTGACATCATATAAAGATGTAAACCGAACCATACCATATGATGTTACATTGTCTTATTTGCGCCGACCGGAATTCCGGAGGGGTGGTCGGCCGGATAGTTCGACGTGTCGAATTTCTCCTGGACGTGGGGAGCGATATCCTTGTAGAAATCCTCGGTTCGGATCTCGTAGGCCAAGCTGTCGGTGTCGGTAAAGAACAGCCGGGCGTCGTCGCCATACATCTTTCGCACGAATCCGTAGTGGAAGTCATACATCGGGATCTTCGAAATATCCAGGATGCATGCTCCCAGGTATACGGGCTTATCGAACTTGAGCTTCGTCTTCTTCATATGGACGGCTGCCAGGTTCTCGGTGAAGACGACCCGACGATCGAAGTTGGTTTTGGTCACGAGCTTCAGCGCCTGCTTCTCGTTGGTGACCAGCCGGACATCGACCCTCTTGCGGATATTTTCCATGGTCTTGCCGAAGACCGAATTATTCATGAGCTTGAAGAAATCTTTCTCGGCGTCGGACTTGGCCACGGCTCTGAGCTCGGTGTTTTTGTCGTTGTACGGCTAAAGCCATGGGGATTGCCTAAATCCAATGATGCGATGGACCTTGGCGAGCTTCATCCCCCTTCCCATATACATTTTGAGGTTTCGATAGTGGAGGGTGTACTTTGTGCGCTTACCTAGGTTAGGCACCAGCTTACGCACCTCGTCAATCTCCACATTCTCCGGCGCGAGAGGATAGTCGTTATGATCGTCGTGGAGATCTTGGGGATATTCCAGGTCGCATTCCACCATGGCGTCATATTAGTGGTCGTCCGGATAGCTCAAGATGTCCTCGATTTCTGACGGCTCCATCCATTCGAATTCCCCAGTGGGAAGGGGTTGCGCCATGGCCCACCCTTAGGGGATATATCTGGAGGTCCTCTTCCCCATCCTCACCTTTCTTCAGACCGTCGTAGCCATAGACGTTGGTGGTGAGGTCTGCATTCCGCCTCTCGAATTTATCGATCGCCTTGAGGGACACTGGGAAGTCGATATCGTCAAATTTCAGCTCACCCTCCCATTTCTTGTACTGGTTCAGGCGATAAGCATGATTCCCATCCACCTCATCATGATGCAGGGCCGCCAACACTGCCCACTGGAAGCAACGATCATCCTCATTTCTCACGTTGACGATTGCCTTCTTTTTGGCAAGTGCTGATGGGGTTGGTATGTAGGAGCTGCCCCTAAGTGGCTTGAATTCGTTCAGGTGGATCTCTAGCTGCTCGATGTGGGCAAAAGTCCATCCACTACCCTCGCGCATATACCTTGACATGCTTTCCTTGATCTTCCCTACCATGACCGCAATCTCGAAGTCGAGGTCTGCTGATTCGGTGATGACTGTCTGGGCTGATCTGAAGTAAGGGATAACGTAGGTGTTCCCCCCAGTCGCGAGATTCGTTTTGACCAGCTCCACTTTCAGCTGTACCTTCAAGCCCTTCTTTCGGGTGAGGGCATCTTCGATCGTCCTGGAGATGGTGTTGCAACTTACCTTGAAAAACGTTTCCAAATCATGCTGCTGGAGCGGGTCGATTCTGACTGTGCCAAAGACTCCTTTCAATGCATCGCGTCGGTCGACTACCTTGATCTCGTCTTCCACTGGGGCATTTTCGATATCCTTCTTCACCAGGTCGGTAAGGGCAGCTCTTCCTAGTCGGGAATATTTGGTGATTCCGCGTCTTTTGGCGATGGCCTTCAGCTCCTTCTTTGTGAAGACCTCTTCGCGGGCAAATTTCCGATTGGTTTTCTCCTCGATGAGTTTGACCAACTTCTCCTTCAACATCCTGCTGACCCCCCTCAGACCCTCATCCTTAGCTATTCGGCGAAGTTCATTGATGGTCTCCCTGACCTTAATCTTACCTCCAATGGGAATATTCTCATCATCATCGTCCTGTTGGCGCGGCTGCTTGCTATGCCTCCAGCAGAGCCCATCCTTTCCCGGCTTACTCTTGCAAAATTGCCCCTTCTTCCTCTTCAGGGGAACACCGCAGGTCGAGGGTACTTTACATATTTTTATGACTTTTTGACATGACAATATCAACTTACAAATGCTCTATCTGCAGTCGTTTTCTCACTGGTTATAACTTTTTGACATGACATTATCAACTTACAAATGCTCTATCTGCAGTCGTTTTCTACCTGGTTATGAAGTAACAACCATCCCCTATCTTCCGAAATGGGTACCTGCATTTTTCTGATCAAAACAAGATAATGAAGACAAACTTAGAATTATTATAATTTTATTAACATTAAACAGCAAACAATTCCTATATCTTTTTGTTCAAAATGAATTTTCATGATAACTGAAATGTCGAGGCTTTTTAAGCAACATTTTTTATATTAACGTGTTATTGTGTATTAATATGTATTTTCAGCGTTGTAAACTTCTTTATGTTACATCTACTTGCTTATATGCTATTAATTTGCCTTTTGCCTTTCCTCTTCGTAGTATCATATTGCGATACGCGAATTAGAAAGTATTAATTTAAAAGAAGACTTTTTCTTGGCAACGCCATCTTGTGTGTGCGTGGTGAGTGAATGTGGTATATGGGATCTCTGCACAAACATTTTTTTCACTTCCTTTCTGAATTTGACAAAGAATGTTTATTCGCAAAAGTCAGATTCATATAGTTTAACAACAAAATGCCCCTCCCCATCCACAACCAACACTACACACACAACAAATTTAAAGATGAATGGTTGAAGTCTTAACGTATAGTCATTTCAACAATGAAGTGTATCCTTTCCTTTAAAGAGTGCAATATAATTAATCTAGCATTTTTTCAACAGCAATGGGGGGTTTAAATCTTTTTTTTCTCATAGGCATTGTGAATGACTACCATAAACAGAATACATGTTCGCACTTTGGGTAGAACAAACAAAAAATCACTAACATTTTGAATGCAACTATTTACTATAACCATTTCAAAAGGCGAACTCAAACATATAAAATAGTAGTACATGTCGTGAACAAAAATTAAACATACCAGCATGGGTTCCCTCAATCATGAAGCCACCAGACAGGACAAATACACAAATCGCAAGAGCAAACCTATTCAGCATGTTTAGAGGAATGACGAATGAAGAATACAAAATAAAGAATCGTGACATAAACTTAAAGTCTAACTCAAATTTCATTTGATGACAACGTTACAACAGATGTACTTTTTTGTTTTTATGGAAACGTATATTAGTCACCAGTTGATCAGTTCTCAACACAACTTGACGACAAAAACAAGAGGGAAAGTTGCATTGTTATTGAACTTGTACACTTGTTTTCGTAGTATCAATTTACAATGCGAATACATTTGATGCACATTTACAACGTGTTTGTATATACCATTGAAAGTTAAGGATAAATACAGATCAGCACGTTAAGGATGTATTCTTTTGATGTTTCAGTTTCATTGAAATATCGTCCGGGAATTATTTCCGAAACATGTGATACAAGTGGAAAATATTAATGAATTTAAAAAATAGCATAATCAAACTAAACTCTGTGAAAAATTGTGTTCTTACAATAAGTAGTTTTTCAGTAATAAATTTTCAAATTTTATAACCAATCCGGTCAGGGTCATCAGCAAAAATGTTGAGAAAATGGGCGAGGGGTACAAAAAAAGGATTTCACCAAAAATATGTACATCCCATATCAATTTTTTTCTTTTCAAAATTCTTAGATATGTATTTTTTCAATCATTTATAACAAAGAAGTTGAAATAATATGCTTTTTGTTCTATAAAAAGAAAAAAATCCCAAATTCACAAAATTGACAGCATGGTCAATTTGACAAGAAAAAGTAACAAAATTTTATAAAACTTTCTAATACTAACACCAACCTATAGTTTTTTAAGTTAAAATTATTCAGATTGGTCCACTTCATCTTTAGTGAAAGTATGAAAAAAAGTTTAATTGTGAAACTGTGATTTTTACATCGCGATGACCGTGAGGGCATTCCGAAGTATTGTTATCGCCTAGATTTCCATTACGTAACTTTTGTTTTGGGTTTATAACCGATCTATAAACATGACAAATATGCGGATATTAACGAGTGCAAACTAACATTCTTTATCGTTTGTTATAAATACATCTCTTCAATGAATACTGATAAAAATATTTTTGTTTAGAACATAAATTAATAATATGAAAATGTTTTGTCGTTAGATATATATATATATATATATATAAGTCAAAAATCATTGATAATATATATGCACACGTACCGAAAAGGTGTGTTAAAGCATGCGGAAGAATATCTCAAGAATCCCGGCAAGGACCGGTAACTCTGTAATTGTTTTTGCGGGAAAATATGAATGCCTACTTATATCCAATCTTTTAGAAAAATCGAATTTTTAAAGAAGAGTGTCCACCATGCACTTGCACTGCACTATTATTAGAATAGTACAATAGATTGATATACAAATGGATGAAAATTATATATATATGTAACTGTTATATTAATATAATATATAACAACAAACCAGTGTATACTGATATGTATCACTACAATATAATAGTTATTACGGTGAGGTTGAATTTCCTGTCATTTATTCATCATCCAAGCACGAACTTGTCACAGAAAAAAATATATCTCTGTACATTAACCTCAGTTACAGGTATAAAGATGTGATTTGTTTCTGTGACAAGTGCTTTTGACCATCCACAAGAACTTGCGGTCATCCGATGTTCAGTACTTCAGTACTTTGATTTTTCATGATAATAGCCCAAAAATGGGTGAAAATTGATGAAAAATTGGAAAATCATTAAAAATGGGAACTTTCAAATGGCATTAGCAAAGAAGGAAGTGCACCGCCATATGATTATTTCATCATCAATTACTTTCTTACAGTCATATAAAGCCAAAAATCAGGTTAAGAAAAAAGTTTAATACTAGAAATGTTTGGCTCCTCAGAGGTGTACATCCTTAGGGTCAAGGAACAGTAAATGGGCTATGTCACATATTTTGGTAAAATTTTGCAAACAACTTTGGCTCGTTGAACTATAACTGAAAATCTAAAAAATAATGTTTTTATCTCTTTTATCATCTGAAATATTACCGATTGAATTCTTTGAAAACAGGTGAACATTTGTATACAAAAGCACAAAGTGACATGAAATCGGCGAAAAACCTTCTTAGATTTGTCTTGAAATCATCAAATTTCTAATTTCTAATTTATGGTGATCTTTTAGATCTTTCGTATGAACGCGATGCAAATGTTTCAATTAAAACTTATAAAGTCACTCCACTTTTCTCTTAAAGAAAGAAAAACAGAAAGAAATGAACAAAAGATTAATTGTTTAAGCAAGGTGAACTATATAGATACGATGATATAATGTTATCAAGACAAATAGACTATAAGCAGGGCAAGTATGAATCATTTTCCATCTTGCTTGTAGCTGGCCATGGGTTGTGCCGGTTTTCACTGGGCTTTTGTCATGTTTTAACTAATACGACGTGTAGTCTAGATAGAAAAGGAGAAGTCTATGCATGTTAAACTGCCAATTATTGTGTCCGTATCACACCAGGCTATCATGAACATGGTGTTGTTTGTTGTTTTTCTTCATTGTTCATGAAAGGAACCATTGCAACAACTCTCGGGGGAGTTCATAGATTGATTGTTACAAGGTATAATGTTTATCTCTATCCTAAATCGTGAACTCTTTTCTGATGGCAGTCCTAAGAGGTTGGGACAGTTTTCCCTGAATTTTTGTCACAAGGACCATTTTCAAAATCTCCTTAAATCTTTAATGAAATTCACAAAGTCACAGTCCCTTGTGTACTTTAAGGGTTAAGGTTCTTAAAGTATTGCGGCCTTTTGTTCACAGATCATCAAATTATTAACTCCTCAAGAATAACCGAAAGTTCCCAATTGAGACCAAATCTATGAGAATGGTACCAAGACAGTTTACAACGTTTTAGGGATAGGTATATGGATGCACTCCGTGTACTGAGATACGACAAATACCAAGTCATGCAAGAAATAGATAGCAGGCCACAACCATAAGAGAGTTCCAATTACACGACTAGACAAAGACTTCAATCTACAGTAGATACAAAATACAAGCAGCTAGACTCCAAATTCAATATTATTTTTTATTGAAACGAAGAGGCGTGTGAAAATGTGTCAGCTGAAAATTGTTTGAAATTCACGATTGACGCAACAAGTATCCAATGGCAAGTGAGACCAGTCCTCACAAACATCTATATGCCTATCCCTATGTCAAGAGTCGTAATTCAGTGATTGTCGTTAATGTTTTTCAGTCACATTTGTTTTTTTTTTTATATTTTTTGTTATGCACATATATGGATGTTCATAAAGGAATGTTACACTTTATATGATTATTGAATCATGGTGTCACGTGTGAATCCGGATCGGATTATCTTAACCCTACCGGAGCACATAAGACAACCCCTAGTGTTTTGTTGGATTCGTGTTAATCGATCTTATGTTTTCTGTGTAGAATTTTGTTGATTTGTTTGTCTTTTCATTTTTCCTTTTTAGCTCACCTGACCCAAAGGGTCAAGTGTGAGCTTTTCTCATCACTTGGCGTCCGTCGTCCGTCGTCGTCCGTTAACTTTTACAAAAATCTTCTCCTCTGAAACTACTGGGCCAAATTGAACCAAACCTGGCCTAAATTATCCTTAGGGTATCTAGTTTGAAAAATTTCTACGTATATCTGAAGCAAAGAATTTATAGCAAATCTGACGGAGTAAAAATGTTCATCAGGTCAATATCTATATGGTTTAAAATTTTCAAACAAATCAGACAACCTGTTATTGGTTGCTGCCCCTGAATTAGTAATTTTAGGAAAATTTTGCAGTTTTTGGTTATTATCTTCAATATTATTATAGATAGAGATAAACTGTAAACCGCAAGAATGTTCAGTAATGTAAGATCTACAAATAAGTCAATATGACCAAAATTGTCAATTGACTCCTTAAGGAGTTATTGCTCTTTAAATAAATTTTTCACAATTTTTCTTTAATTTTTGTAATCTTTTACAAAAATCTTCTCCTGTGAAACTACTGGGCCAAATTAAACCAAACTTGGCCTAAATCATCCTTATGGTATCTAGTTTAAAAATATATCCAATGATTCCGTCCATCAACCAAGATGGCCGTCATGGCTAAAAATAGAACATGGGGGTAAAATGCCGTTTTTGCCTTATATCACTGACACTAAAGCATTAAGAGCAAATCTGACGGGATAAATATGTTTATCAGGTCAAGATCTATCTGGCTAGAAATTTTCAGACGAATTAGACAACCCGTTGTTGGGTTGCTGCCCCTGAATTGGTAATTTTAAGGAAATTTTGCAGTTTTTGGTTATTATCTTGAAAATAAGTCAACATGACCAAAATTGGGAATTGACATCTTATTGGAGTTATTGTCCTTTAAAGTCATTTTCTGCAATTTATTGGTAATTTTTGTAAAAATTTTAAAAAATCTCCTGCTTTTAATTTAACTACTTGGCCAAATGAAACCAATCTTGGCCTCAATTATTATTAGGGTATCTATTATGATTTTAACCGTATTTTACATGATTTCCAAAACTACAGTAGATACAGGTGAGCGACACAGGCTCTTAAGAGCCTCTAGTTTCGTTTTTTTGCCATGGCATCGCCAGTTTCACTTCGACTTACGATTTTTGCTTGTCCCCTTTTTACTGACATCCGTCGTCCCATTTCAGTTCCCATTCAACAACGATGTTAATTCACAACTACAATTCGCGTTTAATTCAGAATTGGGATGCACATGAAGTTGGCCTGTAATAAGACAACAGTTCTATCAGTATCAAATATACCCTCTTTTTCCGGTTGCAGCCTACTTTTTCCGCCCTAATCCCTGTTGAAACACTTTGCAGAATTAACATAGAAGTATTAGATTTATTGTTAATGTATTGTCGTCTTTATTCTGCATGTATTGAATAGCTTCACACTATTATTTTTGTCTCGCCTGCGACGAAAGTAGCAGAAGGCGAAACATAGATGTTGATCAAAATCGACGGCGACGACGTCAACAATTGTTAAGTTTTCTGTATAAGTCAGTTTGATAGGAACTACTTGTGAGAGATCAGTAGTATTTAATATAAAGTTGCATTACTATCAGTACATTTCAGTTTGACGACTATTTTGAGGTCCTATTCCCTAGGTCATGGTTCAGCTTCTTTGAATTAACTTGTTAACAATTTTCAATGTTTAGTTTTCTGCTTAAGTTAGTTTGATAGGAACTACTTGTGATAGATCATTGATATTTTATGTTAAGTTGCACTACTATCAGTACATATTATCTGTTTGACGATTATTTCGAGGCCCTGCCCTCTACGTCATGGTCAAGCAACTTTGAATTAAATAGGAAAGTTGCTGTCCATCAGATTGTCTTTGTGAAATTTTCTGCTTACAGGTGAGAAATTATGATATCTCTGTGTCAACAGTTTATTCAATATCCAAAGCAACACAGAAAAAACCTGAGTGATTCGCAAATACTTCAGACGGACAGAACGATGGTGCGTCAACAGGGTAAGCGTCTCCTGCTGTTCATGTATAACCCGTAATAATGATCAGAATTTAGTCAAT